TGCATTTGAAATAAGAGCAGCCAGTCAACACCAGGGTTGACATGAATATTCAATAGCACAAGGAAATGCTCGTGAGTTTACAGAAGATTACTTCATTGAATATATACCCCTGCAGTTCAAAAACAAACACTCTCTTCTTATAGAAAGGAGGGTGGTGGTGATTGGTAGGTGCCAACCAGTCAGCCCCAATGCATAGCAACCCTGTGTACAGCAGAGCAGTGCACTGCCCAGTGCGGACCATCTCACCATTGTTGTTCCTTCTGAAACCCTGGTTTTACCCATGTATCCCTCCATCTCCTTGAGCAAGAAGGATATGAATCCCTGCGTGGAACAAGGCAGATCGTAAGCCTCTTCTTTGTTCTTCCCAGCATCCTGGAAAGGAAGCAGGCATGACTGCGGTAACTAGACATAGCAAGCTATTTCACAAAGGAAGAGAAGTGTCGGCAGGTGGAAAGAACAGGGGAGTGTTCTCCCCCTCTCCGCCTGTAGGAGCACAGAGGCAGGGTCCAGAGAACTGGGTTTAGGTAGCAGTGCTAATGCAGTGGAAGTGAGATGGAGGTCCGTGCTGGCTGAAGCAGCAGCCCTGGGTAGAGAGCACTGAGAAATGCAGGAAGCAGTGTCATTTCACTGCAGGCACTCGGATGGCCTTTGGAGGGCGGTGGCTCCTTCTGAGAACAGTTCTAGAATACGTGAAACAAAGTCTGGCTGTCCTCAGTCTAAGGAGCACTCCGACTGTGCTTCTCCCAAGACAGATTGGTTTTTTCTCTGGGAGTCCGTGGTGCTTCCATATTTTTCCCTCGCACCCTCATCCAAAGGCACTGATTCTTCTTCATTCTTTATTCAATGTCCACTTTCACATGCGTATTAAGGGAAGGAGAATACCGTGGTTTGGGTTAGGTGCATGTTGTTGTTGCTGTTAAGTCCGTTCCCACTCATAGCGACCCTGTGTGGAACAGCACAGAACAGCACCTGGTCCTGCACCCTCCACACAATTGTTCTGATGCGAGAGCCCTTTGTTGCAGTCACTATAGCAACCTTTATCAACACTAGGTTTTGCTCTGCCCTTCGACTTTACCAAGCATGATGTCTCTCTACTGGGACTGCTTTCTCCCGACAACATGTCCAAAGTGGGATGAAGTCTTGCCATCCTTCCTCTAAGTAGCACTCAGGCTGTGCTTCTACCAAAAAAGTTTTGTTTGCCCTTTGACCAGTCCATGGGACCGTCCATCTTCTTCCCCAGCACCCTGATTCACAGGCATCGATTCTTCTTCGGGCTTCCTTATTCAGCGCCCAACTTCCACATGCAGATGAATCCGTGGAAAATACCATGGCTTGGGTCAGGCACACCTTAGCTTAAAGTAAGGATGCTTTTCAGCACTTTAAGGAGATGTTGTGTGGAAGATGTACCCAATGCAATGCGACATTTGCATCTGGAAGCACTCGTTCATCTGTGCCAAGAAGTGTGGACGACAGCTACTTGGCCAACTGACTGAAAGAGATCCATATTTGCAACCATTTCGAAGAAAGGTGACCCAACAGGATGTGCAAATTATAGAACGATAGCCCCGATTTCACATGGAAGTGAGATTTTGCTCAAGGTCTTCCAACAACGGTTGTAGCAGTACATTGCCAGGGAGCCGCCAGAGGTTCAGGTCAGACTCCGAAGAAGTTGTGGAACAAGGGATATCGGTGCTTGTGGACGCCATTACAAGATGGCGCCGGACCGCGCCCGCATCGTCAGAGCTAAGCTGTAAACAAGCTTGTTGCGCATGCGCTGCCAGCCGCTCACTACGCATTATCAAATTGCACCAATCCTGGTAGGACACGTCACCGAGCAGGGTATTTATACCCGGGGTTTTAGGAGCTTGGAGTCTTCCGCAGCTGACCTCGGAGCAAGAGGCAGCTTAAATAAACTTCGCAGATTGCATCTACCAGAAGGGTCCTGACCATTCTTGTCTCGGTCCGTGTTGCGCCGTGTCATCCGCGCGCGACAGGTGCTAATGTCAGATGGATCTTGGCTCAAATCAGAGAATACCAGAAAGATGTGAACTGGTTTGTGTAGATGCATGTTGAAAGCTGTTTATTCAGTCTCGAGAAACCGCTATCATCGTCATTTTACAGAAGGACAGGAGGAAGGCCTGTGGTCTGCGCAGCTCCGCTGCCTGTGAGACAAGTACCCGCAGCAATGCAGCTGGTGTTTCTGGGGGAGTGGATTGTTGTCTCCCCCATGACACCAAATGCTTCTCTGCCAAAGCCTTCCTCTGTGTCCATCCATCTGTGTCCATCCATCCCTTTCCATAAGGGAGGAGATTCTGGTTCACGGATTGGTGCCCGCACCACATCATCCCACCAGCAATTTCTGTAGCAAGATTAAGTGGCTCAAAGAGAGCCATCTGAGGAATGGAAACTGGAAACCAGGGAGAAAGTGGCATGAAGGATGGTACATTGAAGGAGGACTCGAAGCAGGATGTGTATGAATTGTTGAAGGTAAAACTACAATGTACTCTATAAACCTTCCCCTAACTCAATAAAAACCGTCACCGAACTCACAATAAAAATGTTTTTAATAATAAATAAAAAGAGCCATTTGAAGCATTTGTATTCAAAGACAAAAATCTTCAAGGTCTTCATCTCTTACCACATAACCATTACGGTCCGAGTTTGATAGAGAGCTGCCAACACGTAAGTTTCAAGTTCATCTTTTCTTCACCATCAATCTTACAGAGAAGTACATCATGAGAACTTTGTTTAATGGGAGGGAACCTGGAGGGTCGTTCCCCAGCGATCAGGTGTAGGTAGGGCACCTGTAGGTGGGGCAGGCAGGGGCCGTTGGAGATCTGAGAACAGAGGAGTCCTGCATGACCAGAGCTGTTGGCCTTATGAGAGCCACGAGCTGATGAGAAGAAAGTGTGGTGCTTGCGCCACCAACTCAGATAAGCACTTTGAGCCCTGGCTCTGCCCATGCACCGGGCTGGGTGTTCACTGCCATCAAGCCAATGCTGGTTCTTAGCCACCTGGAACTGAACTGCCTAGCAGAAGCTCAGAGTCTATGGAAAAGAGGGACAAGATGCAGGTGATTATAATGCAGGTGAGGTCCAGCGTTTTCTCTGCGTGTGTAGCTGATGGCGCGCAGTGGCCTCTCTTTTAACGGTCTGCTCTGGAAGAACCGAATAGGACGGGTAACCCAGAAGTCCCGCCACTGTAGCTTCAGGAATACAAAAAGTCCTGCCCCTCCAAAAGGGATGGTGTGGGAGGGGGAGGGGCTTATACAACAGGAGGCAGCCTTTCTAAACAGGATCAATAGCCCTGGTGCCGTGGTGGCTGCGCATTGGGCTGCTAACCACAAGGTCAGCAGTTTGAAACCACCAGGTGCTCTGGGGTAGGAAGATGAAGTTTTCTATTCCCATAAAGAGTTACAGTCTTTTTTTTTATTGTTTCTGTTAGGTTTCTTAGTTTATGAAGGAGTGGATGCCTAGAGACAATAACTGATGCAATGGTTTATTGGGGACAGGGAGTGGGGAGGGGGAGAGTAATTGGAGAGCAAATAATGGATGCAGGAGGAGAGAGGGAGCATTAGAACTGATTTTGATGATGTGTATTCAACTTTTTTTAAAATGACTTAATTATGGAAGCGTATGATATGTGACTTTTATAGCAATAAAACTATTAATACATACATATATTTATGTCTATATATGAATTATAGTCTTGAAAACCCGCAGAGGCAATTCTGCCCTGTCCTGTAGGGTCACTGACCGACGGCAGTGAGTGAGTTCACATACCGTCAGCTCTTGGTCTTTATACATCGAATCCCAGGCATGGCAGAAAGAAAAAAATGAAAAGCAAGGCAGTGGATAAATAAATGTAAACTCCTTTGGTGATGAAATATCAAGATATCGTTCGTTTGGATGCACCAGTGCATTCCTGAATATTAATGGCCAGCAGCTAGCCCAGAAAAGCCAGCAAACTGGAAACCCTTACCTTTTTGTCCAAAGGAGAGAAATGCATAAGTGATCTTTAAGTTTGACACCCCTTTTAAGCATTTGCAAATAAAATTGCTATTGAACTTCCACGTGGCTGTGAAGATGTTTCTATTACTTGCCTCACCATTTCTAGCTAGAATAACTTGCCATTTGAATTTTCACGTTGACAAAGTTCCCTATAATACATCATATCATATCATATCATATCATATCATATCATATGGCCCAGTCCTCTGCCATAAACTGGTGTTGCTCATTAAGAGACTCTGAGTGTGAAGAGAAGTGTGTTTGCCCCGTTGGTAGACATGCACCTCTTACCTATAGATGGATCCGCCATGTTGACATTCAGCCCGACTTGGACCTTGTGAGGTCACCAAGGTCATCCCACAGGAGATAAAGCTCTTCTAAGATTAAAAACAAAAACTTAAACTCTATGAATGGATGTTTTACACCTTCCTGCCTCCCAGTGGTCACCCCAGGATAGAGCATTCTACCTTGGTGATTGTTGCTCAAAAGGGCAGAGGCTCAGTAATAGTTTTAAACAAGGGAGAGATGCGTGGCATGGTCACATCTGTGTTGAGAAAGGGTGAGTCCCTTGTATCCACATAGAGTCTGGACCAGGAGGAGGAAAGGGGAGACAGGAAGCGCCAGGCGTAATGGTGGCCTGACCTAGGGCGCTTGGCTGGGGGAATGGAGAGAAGGAAACAGAGTAAAAGTACTTAGACTGGAAAGGGAGTACAAGATGAAAAACAGACTCCCTAAGAATCCAGATTGATGCTTCATTGAGTAGAAAAAGATTCGGATGCCAAATGATGAGCAGGCTTGGGGGTGTTGGATTCCAGGGTCCTTGAAAGTTCAGGTAGAAGAGAGAATCCTCCCTGTAACAGGGAATCCAAGAGGCCTCGTGGACAAGATGCCATCGGAATAGGGAGTAATCGACAAGACTGAGCTGCTGCCCGGGGCCCCAGATACCTCCTCTGACTTCACACATGTGCCTGCATTCACCTCTATCAACAGGTATGTGCGGTCAAGGACGAAGCATGATGTTGACATGAGGATTGGAATCCATTCGGGCTCAGTGCTGTGTGGCGTGCTCGGCCTGCGGAAGTGGCAGTTTGATGTCTGGTCATGGGACGTGGATATTGCAAACAAACTCGAGTCTGGAGGAATCCCTGGGTAAGCCAAAGCAAAACCTCTTTCTTGCTTAACCCTCTGATTTGCAAACTTGGTGACAGTGTATCCAGATTTAAGTAGCCATTCTTGGGGCACGAGATAGGACAGTGGAACATCATACAAATGTTGACCCTCAAAGTGGAAAGAAATGCACGATAGGCCTTGAGGAAGGCAGGGCGTCCTCCAACTGTTCTGGGCTCAGCCCTGGGCAGCACTGACCCTCAGACTTAGAGCCATCAGAGGGATTTTTCACAAAGGCTGGTGCCCACTCGCCATGCTGATTCAACTACCAAAGCAGAATCTGTGCAGGTGGGCGCAGGTGTGTAACTATATAACCATACACTCCTATCCATAACTAAACGGAAAACGGAAACAACATACACGAGGTGGGCTGCACAATGCTCGTGGAGATTTTTATTATTTTTAATTCCATTTTCCACAAACTTCTGGAAGCCCCTCATCTACATGGTGGTGTAGATATAGCTATGTGTGTGTATCCACACACATCCATGTACATAGACACACACACACACACACACACACCAGCGCTTCAAAAGTTCACTGAAAAAAAATGGAATTAAAAGATCATGGAATTTTCCCAAGAATGCATACACACAGTTCTATTCCTTCTTGATCCCTTAGGCTCTGCTTTCAAAAAGCTTTGTGTTGGGAATTAGACGTCGACCGCTTACCAAGCTGATCGTTAGTTCTGCATTCAAACACATTTTGTTTCGAGGCGTCCATTGGAATCCCCTGCTCAACCTACGTCCTCCCTGTGTTTCCAGTTTCCCTTCCTCCTTTTCAGTAAGCCTCTGAGCTCTGTTCTTGGGTAAACGCTGTCCTTTTGATCTTAAATGGTTAATTAATTCTAGCCTTGAGGTGGGTTCAGACGTGAACAGATGACTCAAGGCCATGGTCTTGGGAGCTCTGCCAGTTTCTCTATCACATCAGCAGGCCTGGTCTGTCTTATGATTTTGAGATCTGATCCATGAACTTTTGGAAGCCCCCTTGTATATTCTCTCTGTGTGTTTCGCATTTGCACACACACACACACACACACACACACACACACACACACACTGTTAAAGCAATTCTAGTGCACAGCTAGAGTTAAGATCGACCAGCCTTCCATATGACCTTAGGCTGAACTGCGGAAATCCAGGATCCTCACCCACTCTTAAAAACTCTGCTCTTCAAATTTCTCTGGAATGGGCCAGTGAGTCTGTGAAGAATGTGTGAAGCCAATGAAGAATCCCCAAAGCACGAGTAACCTGAAAGACTAGCTGAACTAACAGAGTGATTTGAAGAGCCAGTTAGCCCATCCGTTGGGACTAGGAAGAGCTCAGCTAGATGTGAGCCAGGGAGGAGTTGTACTGACCGCTCTCTCTCAGCTATGATAGAGAGATACGGGAGATAGCTAGAGAGAGAGGAAAAGAGAGTACAGGAACAAGAAAGCTAGCATGAACAGACAGAGCACTTATATAAATTCTCCCCACCCACTCGCCGTGCCTTTCGAGTCACAAAGTTCTCAGCTATCACTCCTTGCCAATTAGATTTACCATCAGGTCAGACGCTGTCATGAGGGGAACCGGAAAAGAACTACAGGGTGTGGAATCGGGAAACCAGGATTTCCATTCTCCTCCTCGTAAGCATGTGGCATGAAGCAGGTACAACACCTGGTATGTCGCTGTGGTGCTAACTTGGGCTTTCACAGCCGCACCTGTGTAATCTCAGGTCATTACATAACTTCTCTGAGTCTCGCTTCCCTCACTACAGAAAGATGGTGATACTTAAGACACAGTGAGTCTTATCCCCCCTCCAGGAGAGTTTGTTTTCTTACTTGCCATATGGGCACAGCCTACCTCACATATGTCTTCTGGGCATCACCAGGGTAGTGGGTGTCAATTGCTTTGTCAGCCATGCAGCGATTCCCCATGCTGACTACTATTCTCAGGGGACACCCACCCCCTCTTCCTCACTGTGCAAGGTGTGTTACCTGCTTCCCATGCAAGTGTGGGACTAAGGTGAGCCTGACATACACCCACTGTGTCTCTATAGCCTATAATTCTTTGTGATTTTGCTACAAGTAGCTCCTAAGTGAGTTCAAACCAACTAGGCAGCAGAACTGTCTGTGGTTCTGAACGTGTGGCTGAATGGAGAACCATCCATAGACTGAACAAATGCTATTTGTATCTGTTACACATGACATCCAATATGGATGCTAGAGATAGCTGCATGCTACGGCCAGTAGGGAATCATCCATAGACTCACCAATC